ATGTACTGTGGAAGTGCGCTCTGACGATGACAGCGATGGTAAAATCATCTACTCATATTGAACCCTTTTAAGTTTCAAAAGGTAACGAAATATGCTTTATTTTATTCTTCTGTAATTGTTCTTAAAATATCAAGAGAGTTTTTTGCTATTGCAGCAGTTAGAGATCCATCCGTGCTGGATAGGCTATATAGGTCCGGGTCGCTAAAGTCCCGAATATGTAATAATGATTGGCGAAACATTCATGCATTCAAGGGTTAAACGTAACTTGACGCTCTCACAAATGTTTCTCTGCTTGCTGTGTTTAGTGATCCATTGTGAGGTCAAGAACACAAGAAGACAGAGTTGTTTGTAAAATCAGTCCCACAGGATGACAACAAGCTGACATAGAAAATGACTTGTCATGAAGGTTATTCCTGCCTTCTGTGCACTAAGAACCAACATAAAGAACCACTTCAGCCAAAATGGGTTCTTTAAGTACATGGGTCAATGACAAATAATGACATCTGAGATGATGAAAACAGAAATATTTTACAAATCAAAGGTGTATCTATCAAGTAAAAAGTAATAAAATATTTCCGTTATACCTTGAATACATTTGAACTCATTTTATTTAAAGGTAGCCTCTACTTCAATATGTTTAACAAAATAACACCATAATTATATAATTTATTGTTTTTGTTGTGTGGAATTAAATACTTATTCTGTTCTAATTTGTATTCTCATCATTGAATTTGTTTAAATTTGGATTCAATCTGCTGTGTTTAGTTTTTTTGAGAAAGTTTATTACAAACCCCTTATTGTTGTATTTAAAAAACAATAAGCATTTGAATCTTTTTGAGACTACAATCTCCAGATAGATACACCAAAATATTAGACTTTAGGTCATAAAAAATTATTATATTTTTTATTTCACTCAAAATTATCTAAGAACAGCATTCAAAATGATTTTAAAAAAACAGTATTGAAGTCATTGTATGTATAAACTATCTTTCTAAAGTATTTTCTGATCACTTTAATAGATCCAGACAATCATCAGATCACGTCATTGACCCATATATGGTTCTAAATTGAACTATTAATATAATGTGCTGTTTTGAGATTCCCACTCGCTCAGATTCAGTGGGAGGCATGAACATCTGTGTGACCAAGCTGAAATTGTGCAATCCTAAACATGTTGGCCTTACTGGCAAGTCCGGTATGAGTATGTTCATTTCCCTTTTACGAGGTCAAGTTTCCTTAATCACAAAGTTCCTTTTTTTTCCTTGTCTCTGGAATATATTTATAGTTATTTAGTCAGAGACAATAGCCCCCATATACTGTTTATATAGCCCATGTTACCCCGTGGAGGATATGAACACATGCTTTTAAGCTCACTCGGGAACTCAATCGGGGCGTGAAGCAAAAGGAAAGTAGTTATTCACATAAACATTTAGACAACCGTCTTCTTCAGCATGAAAACAGCTGGGCGCCACTTCATCAGAGGTGTGGGCAAGAGCTCAGCATTGTGGGTCAGGCTATAGGAGGTGAGATTGAGAAAGACTGTGTATTGAATGAAGGGAGGAGATCGAGTGGGAAGAAGGAGTGGCACGAATGAGAAGACCACTGAGAAAGATAGTGACCGAATCATGATTCAAACATCAAGCCACAAAAATGGCGATGTGAAACAGATGAATGTGAAATCATGTCAAAACGCCCTCACTCCCTGTAAAACAATGAGACAGACACATGGACAGGTGCATTGTGGGTCAAGACATCCCACAATCATGGAAGATTCCACATGCCCCCAGATGACTCATTACAGAATGCTGAAAATGAGTCAAGATCAACAATTTATGTTAAATCTAGATTAGAAAAAATTAAGGTAAACGTTGTGAGCGCTCTGTACTGAAGGAAGTGAGTGAAGCTAGTTTATCGATAAGCATTTCTTAGAATCTCAATGCTTTGAAACTGTCAAGATTATCTCTGTGAGAGGATATGCACAACTGACATTTCAGCCACCAACTTCATCCTTCCTGAATTATTTAGACCTGTAATAAACCCACAATAGAAACACCATATTCTGTTTCCGATTAATAAAAACTTATGCCATTTAAATGTTCTAAGAGTATATTGGTATAGCTTTGGTTTTCGGCTCTGACTGAGTGGGGTTTCCTGAAACTGAGAGGAATATTTCCCTTGGACACATTTATGAAGCATGGTCAGACTCAGAGTATATTGTTCCACATTTTTTTACTCCATATCTCAAGTTTTGTTTCTCTTCAAGGACAAGCAGGGTGACCAGTAGGTTAATGACTCTGAGATGCCAAAAACCACCTCCATTCAATTTTAAAGAAAGGTATGGAAGATTATTAAAAGGTTATTCTGGGTTCAATACATGTCAATATAGGTTAAGCTTAATTGACAGCAGTTGTCAATGAAAAATATATGTAGGGTTAAGTAGATATAGATTATAGACACATATATTTATATATAATATCAACATGTCTCTTCTTTTAAAAAATAAATAATTAAAACTGATAATACATAAAATAAATAAATGATGGTTCTATGAGTTCTTTGCAGTAAAAGTAAATAGGGCAAATTTTTTGAAGGATTTAAAATTATCAATGTGAAACATAATTTCATAAAAGCACACACTGAAAGAAAATGGGTGGTGAAACTATTTTAATTTAGAAATTGCTAGTAAATTTTACATATAATTACAAAGAAATAGCAAATAACTCATTGAACTAAAAGTGAGACTTAAAGAGAAATTGTTCTTGTAAAACAAAATAATTTTTATTTACAACTTTAAAATTATTTTTTACAGTGTATGTTGTTTGTTAAAGCTGTAATATTTGATTGTAAAGCTGTTTAAATCATTTTGTAAGTAACACAAAACCACAAAGTTATAAAATATAGCTTCATACAGACAAGGTTAGTAGGTGATTTTTCACATTAACATATTGTTTACATCTTGTGGCTTTAATTTGGAAACAGTGAGTAATTTTAACATTTAAGATGCATTTACACTGGTCCAGTTTCGTCTGGAATGCGGCCCAGACCACCTCCTGAAGTGGTTTGAGCGATCGGATTGATATCCGTCTCGAATCCGTTTCGTAGGGCATTTACACCTGGTCATTTCACGATCGGATAGCTATCCGATCAGAAAAAACGCATGAAGTGACCAGGTGTAAACAGTCCCATTATGTCAATCTACTATGGATTGAGCTTAATTTGTACTGAAACCAGAATATTCCTTTAAGAAACATCTTTGAGGAGCACAAATCAGGGATGGAGGTTTCCAGTCTACTTTTCCATAGATAGACAATGGCTGCAGTCCACACGACAAACCTGCTCTGTTCTCTTTCACCCTCAGTTGCTTTCTCTGTCCCTCTCTATCATCATCTGCCTATCTGCTTTTGAGCAGAACCACACCAAACATCCTGCTCACTGCTACTACAGAGTCAAAAGTTCACTTCCCCAGCTCAACTTTACTCCTTTGTAACCGCTCCATTAACAGAAGCACTTTCGTATGTTTCAGATAGCTGGAGCGAACAAAAACACAACCAAACATCTCGCCTGCCCCCTGACCCTGACTCACACACCTCTACGTTCCCAGAGCCGTCAGAGCAGTGCTGAACGCAGAGCCACTTAATATTTCGTTTTCTTTTCTCTACGCTTTTGGAACCGAAGTGGAAAGTCTCTTTTTTTTCTCTCTTGTTTTGTCTGTCGGAGAGCAGGAAAGAGAGAGCGACAGATTTTCGATGAGAGCGAGCTAATGAATGGTGGAGAAGGGGAGTGTCAGATTTATTTTCCCACCACCGAAATCCACTTCAAACGGGCTGTCACATCTCCTCAGCCCGTATTAATATGTCTGCGGTCAAAGTTTTAACTGTTATGATAGCTGTAATATTGTTCTATGCCTAGAGTCAGAAGATTTGTATTCCGTTTACACTCTGGGTTTCGTTTGGATACAAACAAACCGCTGTGCCCAGACTGTTTTCATGTGTTTTGCAAAATTAAGTTGAGAGGAATTTCTGGATCTCGGCTGTCCACTTAAAAGTGTTGGGAAATTTCAGCATCTGTCTCGCCCCAAACAAGCTGGTTTCATGCGTGTGGTTTAATAGTACATGTATACAAAACCTCACTGGGAGTCTAATCCTGCCTCTCGGCAAAAAGGTCAGCTAAAGTTTCTGCAGGCCCGCCCAGAACAAATGGGTCAATCAACTTCAGAAACTATGCTTCCCTCCTTACCAACTCGGCCAAGTGTTTATCATTGCGGCGAATTATTGATAAACACACAACATTTCTTATACAGCATAAAGTTAACAGTAATCGGACTTGCTGTCTGGCATTTCTTTTAGTGCATGTGTGAGTTTCAAACTGTGCTGTAGAATTTCAAGTACCTTCAAGTGTAGAGAAAAAAACTATGCTGATTTTTATCAAGAAATCATGTTTAATTTACAAATTTGCCTTTTATGGTAATTAAGTAATTTCCCATTTCATTGTGTAACTCCAGTATTTTCTGTATTGTAAAAATAGGAGACAGTTGCATAGGCTATATTCACAAACAAATCAAATAATCATTTCAGGGGGAAAAAAAAGACATTTTTAGCATTGTGAAATAACCACAGGTTTAAAAACAATAAAATCCCTTCAGAAAGTGTGCTTGAATTTTAATGTACAATACACAGAGAGCAATTACGTGTGTGTTTTTGTATTAAACTATTGCTAAAGCGTTGTGTAACCCATGATAGGCTCAGTCCTGAGGTAAGCACCAATGTCTTTTTGCTTTGATTAAGAGAGTTCAATCTGACCAAAAAAAAAACAAAAACAAACACTTTGATTAGCTGACATGCTACAGACTAAAGCCCAGGTAATTTGCCCCAAATTACATGTTCAATATTCACTAAGCTCTAAAGCTTTAAGATTCACTAGTTCTTTCACAGTGCATTTGTGGTTTAAGTTTTCACATTCACCAGCTGAGGTTGTAATTGCAACTAGTGGTTAACAAAAATTTCTGTGAGAGGAAAAGACAAAATATCAGCTTGGTCTTTGGAATAAAAACAGCGGGTGCCGTATCTCATCAGAACATTTACATTTACTGTAAAATGATTTATTTAGAGGCAAAGCAGATGAGCTGTAAGACTACAAAAAAGGAAGCAGCGGCCTAACAGCCTACTGTGTTTTATGTTACTTGAAATAAGGAGGATTGATTGTTGTAAGTGCAGCTTATATGGTACATTAGAACGGTAGCTGGAGGATTAGGGTGTACGTTTAAATCACAGGGCCTGGTCAACTGGCATAAAATCTAACATCAGTGGGGACAGACAAGCGTGGATAGTCTTCGAAAATCTGAGATTTCACAGGGCTTACCCTGAGTGGACCAGCTGCTGCTATCTGCGCTCACAGTATCAGTGAGAGAGAGCCCCTGCTCCTCATGTTCAGATGGTTGTCACATTAGCGGCTCTACGTGTGTGCGTGAGGCACCATGGGGTTAAAGCCGTCACATTAGCCTGAAATTAACTGCACCGTAATAGGGGTGAGGAGGCCCTCTCAAACATTTCACATGAGGAAAGGTCCTGAAGGTATTGCTGAATCAATCACTTGCAAAACGTCACTGTTTGGTTTATATACACAAAAGTGCCTTGGCTGGTACTGTTATACAACTAGTCATGCAGAGAGTCATTCAAAGGGGTCGACTGCGATGCAACTGAAGCATATGGATGCTGTAAATATTACTGCATTTTCAAAGGCACCACCCATGCTTAGTCTGTCGCACCAGATGAACCAAAATACGTGGACATGAATTGTTATATCATGATCGGAATATGCACAAAGATATTCCAGTTGTGAGATCACAAGGCAGTACTTGCTACATTTTCAATAAGCTGAAGGCACTTGGCGTTGGAGGAAAGGAAAGGGAACAAAGACATTAAATAGCTCGAGACCATACACCTGAAGGTGGTGAAAAAAATGTAAATGGTACTCTCTGTGAACTCTCATTCCATGCTGAAGGGGATAACTACATCAATGCAGAGAAAAGCTTAGATCACTTTACCTAAGTCCTGGAACAAACACTCTCTTCAGTTAGTTGCTCCCTTTAGTATGGAAAAAACTTGGCCATTCACAAAGCTGGAAAATCAGATACAGGTGATCCAGTACTCCGAAAAATAGTCTATAAAAAGTCCTCCAATTACTATAAAATCCCAAAGATTTGGCTTTTTTTCTTTTTCGTCCAGATTTGCTGCTCCATTCTGGACAGAAGCCCTGAATATTGTTCATATGTGCTTTTTCATTCTATATACACCAATAATACTTAATACACAGGTTTAGGGTACGATTGCAACTCTCTTCTGTAACATTTGACATTTTCTCTTTGGCTTTTCCAACATACAAAATAAAAAAAAGAAAATGAACAGAAAAATAAAAATAAATAAAAACAATCTCTTTTTGGTTTTCAATTGGTTGTTTGGCTCGGTGATTGAACAAAAAATAAGTTGTTTTTATATAAATACTGCATTGTCTGAGTGTCCAACAGTCAAAACAGATTATAAATAAAGCAGTTTCCTCCTTGTAGGAAAGTCATTTTAAGAAATGCACGTACTGCAAAATCTGCAAAGAAAGGCACATTCAGAATAAAAGAGTTTGTGTGCATTTTTATGGCCAACACTTTCTGGTCTCCACTCTTTGAGGTGCAGGTTCAAATGAAGATGAGGTGAAAGTTGAATACTGTGAATGGCATACAGTGATGTATCTTTGGAAAGTAAAGTTAGTGGTTCCCCCCTCTAGCTAGGAGAGTAGCGGTCAATGGTGCGGGACTCTGCCGAGAGCTGCTGAGAAGTGGGTGGCAGTGGCTGGTTCAGGACGTCTATCTTGTGGGTGAGGCCGAGGTGTTCTACAGCCAGCTTTGACAGCGGGTAGAGGCTCTCCATGGCTTTGGCATCAGCCAGCAGGTGCTGAGAGGCTGTGAGAAGGTCTGAGGTTTTCTCCTGCTTCAGGCCCAGATGCTCAGCTGTGTACTTGCTCAGGGGATAAATCCCCTCGGAGAAGTCTATCTTCAGCTTGCCGTCAGGAGTTAGTCCTCCGCCAGCTGTTCCGCTGCTGTGCATCTTCATGTGACTGATAAGGTTGCGCTGCTGAGCAAACTTGCCCCCGCACACCTGGCACTCGTAGGGTTTCTCTCCGGAGTGGATGCGCATGTGTTCCGTCAGACGGTACTGGCGAGTAAAGCGCATGCCGCAGGCGTCACAGGCGAAGGGTTTTAGGCCCAAATGGCTGCGCATGTGGCGTGTCATAGTACCACGTTGGGTGAACTTCTTGCCACAGATGCTACAGGGGTATGGGCGTGTCAGCCAGTGGGTTTTCTCATGTTGCCTTAGGGTGGCAGGATCTTTATAAGACTTGTCACAGGACGAACAGCGATAGGGTCGTATGATCTCCCCGAGACCAATGGAATGGAGATTTTGTGCCGATTTGCTATCTAGGAAAGGGCTGTGGAGGCCACTAGAGCTATTCAAGCTTGTAGGTCCATGGGCATTGGTGGGTTTGCTGCTGCTGTTGTCCAGCTCGCTCCCGTTGTTTAGCTCCTCCTCAGTATGGGTTTCCACATGGGCATTGAGCTGCTCTGAGCTGGGGAAGCCTTTGTCGCAGGGGATGCACACGTACAAGTTATCTCCGAAACTCTCTGGCTCGTACGGCATGTGATATCTTCCACCCAGAACAGGGGGAGACGGACGACCCTCGCTGCTCCCTGTCTCTTCGCTGCCGGTCCCATTCTCATCCTCTCCATCATCACAGGTCCCTCTGTCATAGCCCCGCTCATTCATGTTCAGCTTTTCCTCGCTGATCTTATGGTGATTCATGTGCTGGTGTCTCTCTTTATCCTGCTCACCCATTCCTCCACTCTCATCCTCTTCGTCTTCCTCATCTTCATCCTCTGGGTTGGAAGGCTCATTCTTCACCCACCGATAGATGTTGGACCCATCTCTGACATGTTCTCTGGAGTCCTCCATGGGTTCTGGGCTAGGAGCGCAGGGGTAAGGTTCTTGGCCCTGAGGACGGTGCAGATGGGGAAGATGGGGTGCAAGAGGATGGTTGGGTAGAGGGAAGGGGTGTGGGGTGAGAGACCCCACATGATGGGATGTCTCCATTTTTCTGGAGCCATCGTTGGGACTGAGCAGGGGGCTAGTGCTTTGATCTAGCTCCCCCTCGGGCTCCTCTTCTGGGTGGAGTGAGGAGATCAAATGGGGGTGACCAGAGGGAAGCTGGGACTGGGAACTTGGGCTTTTCTTGGTCAGGTCAAGGCCATAGACAGATGAGCAGTTCCTGTCAGTATGGGGCATGCGCAGGCCTGACTGGGGCGACAGGGATGCCTTTGCTGGGGGGTAAGGCGGTAGACCCTGGGTGGGGACTGGTGCATAAATTTCGCCGACGTGGGGGGCAAGTGGGAGGGGGGGCAGGTCCTCTAATGGTGTAGGTCGAGGGGTGCTAACTAGTCCTCCAGGGTGGCAGGAGTGAATGACAGGGGTAGATATTCGAAACCGTCCTCCCCCCATGCCACTGGAGCCTATCTTGTAAGGTAAAAACCCAGGATTGGGACGTAAATGGTACTTCCCATTTCTTTTCAGCTTCTTCTTGCATAGAGTCACCAGATCCAGCAGCTGCAGATAACTTGCTGCCGCCAGCACTGCTCCTATATTTGGCTCAGTTGGAGAGGTGGGGTCACCTTCACTTAAGCGTCCTGTGTAGATATAGTCAAGAATGACTCGAAACACACCTGGACTGACCATCTCATGGTCCAGATTGATGAGGTTGTCATGAACGACAAGAGATTTAAGGTAGAGGCTACTGGCTGCCAGGATGTTCTTGTGAGCACGGAACAGTGCGTTCTGCACCACAATGATAACATCACACAAGAAGCCTTTGGTTCGTTGTGTGTTCAACTGCAAGAGGAGGTGCCTAGCATGACTTGGGACTTCCATGGCATCCAGCATCGACTTCAGACAAATACCTGTAACAGAAGAGAAATGGAACAATTAAGTAGAAGCCAGAAAGTTGTTGCAGACACTACCACATTTAGAAGCCTATTGAAAACTAGCTGAATTTTGCATATTTATTTGAGTACTGCGGTATAAAAGGCCATTTTTTTTAATAGCTGTCTTTTGAAATATAACACACGTTACTGACACATCTGTTTGTGTTGGACTGTCTGTAAAACTTGACTGGCAGCACAAGATATAAAAAGGAGCACTTAAGCTTGTGTGCATTTTCTTGATCCTGAATATAAGCTCTTCATTTACTCTTTGATATTTTTGTGGACTTTCAGGTAGGGGATTGAGGGCAAACAATTCAGCTTTTCCTTTAATGCAACAAGCATCAGAAGGACTCCATAAAAGTGAGCTATAGCTGACCGAGTGAGACTGTGATGGTTTTGTCATTATCAAGATACAAACCCACATGTTTAAAACTTACAGTGAAGTGCAGTTAACAAAAAAAGAAAGAAGAAAAAAGACAGGGGAAAATGCCAGTATAAACATGTTTTCATATTGCTGTCTTCCTGATAAAGAATTCCAGAGGTGGTGTGTGGAGTTTTAAACAAAGTCAGACTGAAGGTTTTGCAAGTGTGATGAACAGCAGGCATAAACCAGCGGGGACAAAAAAATGCAGCCAATTCATGATAGGACACTGCTGTATAGAAGTGTGAGTTACAAATGAAACCGTTTTTAAAAGATCACTTGTCAGAGGATGCCTACAAATTACTAAATAAACATTCAACCAACAATGCCAAGTTTAAATTCTAAGCTGAACGCAATGGTTCCTGTCATGCAAACATAATAAACATTACAAATTTACCAGAAAATATTGTTTAAACCCTGCTACATGAGGATGGTCTGTATATGAGATAAAACGGATAGTTAGGGTCCCACAGGAGATGGTTTCACTGATGGGAAACAAGAAGCTAAATAAATACAGTCATCCCAACATCAGTTCCTCCTCTCATTGTTTATTTCATTGTATAAAATAATCCTCTTAGATGAATACTGTAGTTTGTAGCCATAAGCTTCCATTTAATTAGTCCTTAAATCCAACAATGCAAGTCCCTTTAAAACCAACCACAGCTCCTAACATGAATAATACTTAACCACACAGTTGCCAGAAAAGCTTGGTTTTACACAGTGTGTGAATTATTCAATGACTTTCAGTGGATTGACTTTTTAAAGAAATTTCTGCCAGTAATTTTCTAGTTAGATCGATCTGGTTCTGGTTAGATTTGTCCACTGGAATTTAAGACATTAAAACAATATGCAAAAATTTTCTTGTGTGTGTGTGTAAAACTACAATAAAGTTTTAATAAATGGTAGTAGCCTACTATTGTTTTATTTTTTCATTGTCCAAATATACTTGATCTTAACTGGAAGCGTCCAATTGTTGCTATGGTAACCTCATCAGACTAACCATAACAGCTGGAATGTATATCTATAGTCTAAATGCAAATAGATAAAATGTAAAAAAACAAAACAAAAAAAAAACAAATACAATTCATTAAGTACCCAAGTTATAATTAGGGGGGTCAGATCTCCCCAACCCTCCATAATGCTTACTCTGATTATACACACTAAACATGAGATTCGGATTCCTACTATTCCTCTTCATTCAAATTAAAACAGTCAAATGTGATGTACATAAAAAGCTGCATCTCTGTATCTCTTTAATATAAAGAGGCAGCTGCGCACTGTACAGAAGCATGAAGGCTCGCTTGTCGTTCTGGCTTCTCCACTAGAAGAACTAGTTGGTGAGGCAGAGAAACCATACATGGACAGGACTGAAGTTCGTCTATAAAAAAAATTAATTGCTGTATAAATATATTTATTAAACAATTATCTGTGTACATTTTTGTGTCGAAACTATTAATTTAGCCCGGTGCTAAAACATTTACACATTTGTGTAAAAAAGAAAAAACAACAACGCAAATCCAGGTGACGCCTAAAATAAGAAGTGATGGTTTTAAACAGTTTTGAACATTTCCTTTTTGTGGAAATATTGCCGACAGCTGGTCATTTCTGGCCTGCAGTGCACCTGTAGCTTTTCCCGTTCATGTCAGCCTGAACACTCTTGAGTTACAGGTTATTCAATACAATTTTCCTAATTCATAAATCATGTGTTCCGTTTTATTTACAAATGCGCGTCATTTATAGATTTTTTTAACCATTATATAATTGTATCATTTGTAATTATAAAAAAGAATATACACTCACTAACGCACAGATTCAAACAGATGACATGTTATTAATTTCCTGTTGCAGGCAAAGTTACCTTAACAATGGAGCATCTCAACCAAACAAACACCACCCGCAACATTTCCTCTCAGTCCGCATCTTTCTTCAGAGTCTGTGTTAATAAAAGCACCTAAGTTGTGTAACTCTTATCTCCTCCCCTGCTGCCCACGGACACGTCTCATCACTGACAGGTGTATTTTAAGGTGAAGAGCCATTTTTGGCTTGTGGACTTTCCATTAGTGAGAGTTTGAGAAAGCAGGACAAAACTGTATGAGCGCATGATTTATGGCGATTCGTGCCGTACTGTCCTAACTGTTGTATCACTTGTAATTATAAAAAAGAATATACACTTTCACTAACGCACAGATTCAAACAGATGACATGTTATTAATTTCCTGTTGCAGGCAAAGTTACCTTAACAATGGAGCATCTCAACCAAACAAACACCACCCGCAACATTTCCTCTCAGTCCGCATCTTTCTTCAGAGTCTGTGTTAATAAAAGCACCTAAGTTGTGTAACTCTTATCTCCTCCCCTGCTGCCCACGGACACGTCTCATCACTGACAGGTGTATTTTAAGGTGAAGAGCCATTTTTGGCTTGTGGACTTTCCATTAGTGAGAGTTTGAGAAAGCAGGACAAAACTGTATGAGCGCATGATTTATGGCGATTCGTGCCGTACTGTCCTAACTGTGCTGCTTCCAAGAAGCGCAAAGATGACAGAATAGAAGGAAAATGTAAACAATAAACGGGACGGGACGGAAAGTAAGGACTGTCGTTCAGCAGTCACCTGAAAGGTTTTATAAGCAAAGGAAAAGAAAGAAAATCTCCTCTAATTAGTCAGACAACAACTAATTTTGTCAAAATGCAGGGGGGAAAAATCACTCCTTTATTCTGTCAGACGTTCAACGCGTAAAGATTTAAAGGAAGTGATGAAAGACGTAAATCATGTTTTAAAACGACTGTTTGAACTTCACGCGTAAACACTTACATCCTCTCAAGCCTGTCATCCTGTGGATTTACATTACGCGTCTTTAATGCGCACTTATGCATCACGGAATTTCAGCTCATTTAAGGACCCAATCATTTAGATTAATTACTTAAATAGCCTATCATCAAATATAAAAGTTGAGGAGTTTTAATTCAACCTTTTAAAAAAACACTGAAAGTCACATTATTTAATCTAAAAAAAGATTTTACTGAATAAATACATTTAATAGGGAGAACTCATTGGAATAAAACGATAAAAGCTATCAATGCTAGAAAAAAAATTCAATTGTTTGGTCGTGTAGCGCATGCTACAGCTTGGTATATTTGCTATATTTGGTATGGTACACGACTGGATTAAAGACAGTGCATGGGTCATATTTTAGGTGCTTTGGTATTCATTAGCCCTGTGTTTTGTCTCTGTTGTCATTTTGCTGGTTTAGGGGTGAGGCTCGTGTTCTTAAGACTTCCTCTCTCTCTCTCCGCCCTCGGTCTGTCATCTTTTTACCGCAAAAGCGTCCTCCCTTTGAGATTTATCCCTTTAGACTGAGTCTAATGTACCTTTAAGGAATAAACAGTCAATCAGTCACAAAGCATGTCTTTTAAATTTGCTGAATTGGCGTATTAAACTTTGTAAACACTGGGCACACGAGATATAGGCTATCTAAATATTTTGTTTGTTTTATTTTTTTGAGGATAAGAAATGACACAAAAAACACATATAGACCAATTATATTGCATGTAGGCTATAATTTAATAATGTTGGCCCAATAATTTAATTGCATAATAAAGTTGTCATTCAGTCACTGGCACGTGTGCGAGAATTAGTTTTCAAATTGATGTCATTCAAAGTGCTTTAAAAAAATGTTCACTATAACGTAGTTTTCAAATTTGACTATTTCCCACGACATGATCGTTTTGTGAATTAAAGGTAAAAACCTGCGCAAAACCTCTTGGCACCAAGAAACGTGCGTTTGTCTTGGATCGTGCCTGTTTAAGTGGTTTAAAGTCAAACGGCAAAACACCTGGAGTTTATCGACCATTTTTGCATATAATTTGAAGGTAGCCTAAGAGTTTGGAAAAGAGCGTATCATGCGCTACAGCTTCCTCTTCCACAGCTCGTCTTATTGCGCTCATATTCTCTCGCGCGCTCCATCAGCACACGCAGATCTGGATATTCATTCATAAATACCACTGAGAGGACAGCTCACCATCCCCTATATGTGGCCTCCATGGTCAGAGATGAGATGGAAATATTCTAGTTTTATGTCTGTTTTCTGTTCTGTAATAATCTCTTGGATAGAATGTAGTAGAGAAAGATACAGCTGATAATCAGATATAGGCAAGTTCTCAGAGTGTCGCTATGAGCACGTTACACTTTTAATTAAAATTCTAAATTAAAGTGAAAAAGAAAAAGAACTGTGAGGCCTGTTATAACCTATAAATATGATGCCATAAAACTGCTTAATCTTACATTTTGTGGTCTTTAAAATGTTTGTTTGACGCTTTATAAAGCATAAACTGTGTAATTATCTCAGTCCATTAAATCATTTCGTTTTCTATTAATAAATTACATTATTTAGAGCTCGTCTTGTACATGTGAGGAAATGTTTAGTTTAAACCGAGTATCCTCTAAAATAGGCTACTGTAAGTGACACCGGCAATCTAAAACTCTCTAAACATGCTGAATTTAAATTGTTCATTCAACAGACTACATTTGCATGCAAGACACCACATAGCTGTTTTTAAAATCGAATCATTCTCTTTAAAGTCAAATCAGTCGCATGTGAAACACCATGAATTCTCAATTAAGGCTGAGAGCCCCGTCACTGTGATGACCACACCGCCCTACGAAATCACGCAACCGCAGATCACTATGTACTGCAACACTTTTGGACTCATAATGCGATTATAAACTTGACTATTTCTAATGAAGCCCCTTGTTCACAGACGATAGATAAAAAAACTTTACAGTTTCTAAATATAAAAAAAAAAACATTTAATATATAAGTAGCCTGTTTGCATTTAGAAAATAATCGTTGATATAGTAGGCTAGCATATAATACTAAAATGTGCACAAAGAAAAAAAAGAAAAGAAAAAGAAAGGCAAACAACCGGGTCTTAGTTTGTAAAACTTTTACATCCATCCGCAAATGTACCGAGAATTTAAATAAGATGTAAACGGTTGCTCGGGTTATTATTATGTCTATCTAGATGAATAAAGTGTTGATAAAGAGGCTATAAAATGGTAAGAGCATTGAACGTTACCTGGATGCCCGATCTCTTCTGCCATCCGATCTAAGTCTCCCTTAATGATCATCTCAACAGTCTTTTGGAGTCATTTCTGACGTTTCAACTTTGAACTGCCAGCCTCCCAAAACCATGCCAGTTTTCCGAGCACGACTGCCAACTCTTTTTTATTATTAATTGCAATGAATTTCGTGTTGCTCATGCTCACCCTCCCTCTTGCTCTCTCTCTCTCCCTCCACCCTCTATCTCTCTCGCTCACTCACTCACTCCTCCTATAAAAATACGTGCGTACTCCTGCATCAGTTTTTCTCGTTTTTTGTATGTTTTGTAATTTCCTTGGCTATTTTCGCATGGATGTAATAACGCGACTGGAGAAGATAATGGGTTTCTGGGCTGCGCGAGTGTTTTAGCGCCTCGTGTGATGTCAGTCTACAATAAAACTAAAAGGTAAAATCGAGGGCAGGAGCTTACAGTGACCCCAACTTGAACTTCTCAACACATCGACGCTTTGTCTTAAAGAGACAGGCGTTTTTATCGTATATCACAACATAGTGTGCGTTAAAAGAGTAGCTGTTTTTATGAGCGCTGACTGTTTTAATACGGATGACGGGGACCATAACTTCTGTATAGAGTTCGTTATCATGTTATTCAGGAAAATAAATATTGAGTCTGCACACCCCTGTCTGTACCTGTGAATGTTTACACACAAATACTGATTACCTTTTACATAAAACTCATCTTGTTTAAATTTGTTTTAATTTAATACAGTTGGTTGCACAACACTTAGCCTACAAAAAAGCACTACCATGTTTTTAATATAATGCTATATTAAAAACATGGTAGTGCATGTTAATAATGCTATAATATCAAACAATTAGTTGCAAATACTTTTTGAAATACTTTTTAAGCTAATTTAGGGCTGTATCAGTAGCATCAGTATTATCAGTCTTTAATGACACAATTGCTTACTTTTACACAGATATTTATCACTATATTTAGACAGAAAAGGTGCAGAAATGATGCATATAGTCTGTATAACACAACACTGACAGAATGTAGGCTAGTTACCGTAAGTGACATGACTACACCACTGGAATTTTTCAAGTTTCATTTTTTAAGTTTCATTAATAGATATGCGTCATCTTCATTTGTTTAGTTTGTTTATTCTGAAAATTACGACTCAGGATTATTCTTAATATCAAAAGCAGGTATGAATGTCAGTTTAGATGTCATGGCCTATACACCCAGTGACCGCAGTTTAATGTACACTCTTAACAATTAAAGGTTGAATTAGAATCTAAGATAACTTTTTCTCGAGTTCTTTAGAAAACATTCTGTATACTAGTGCTTTAAAAAACACAGAAACCAATACACTGATTTGAAGAACCTATAGCCTAATGTCACATCAATAACTTTTTAATCTGCAAAGAACCATTTTCAATTCAAGAAATATACACTATAAAAACGTTTTCTCATAAGGAGAGGGTTCATTGCTGAACTATTGAAGAACCTTTATTTTTAAAAGTCAGTTTTGTTTTTAACAGCTATACATAGACGAAATTAAGTAGCCTATGTAATAGTTATTCTGGTTGGTGACAAGTATTTTGTTTTGATTAGTTTGATGTCAACATTTTAAGATTGTTTACTTTTAGATGCATGATATGTGGTATTAAAGATCCGATTAAAAAGTAGCCTACAATAATTCAGATCTCCGGCTGTCCAGACACGCCTGCCAGTTATCACAATCTATCAGGTAATGTTGGCACGCGCTCACTGCGCACACCTGAACGCGCCGCAGGTAACTCACACGATACATGCATTAACACAAACTCACCTCGGATTCATGTCTGATGCTCCTGCCGATCTTGACGTCCCCTTACGGGATTCCCCTGTCCACAGATCCCCAATCGTCCAAATTCCTCTTTAAAAGGTAAACTTTTCCCGGTGTTCCCAGCTTCTTCCGTGTTGTCCCTTGTCCTTTACCCTTCTCCCCTTCTCTCTCTCTCTCTCCTCGCGTTAGAATGGATCAGACACTTGAGAATCTGGATGGACTCTGATTGGCGTTCGTCTCCAGAAGCAGTGCAGGCTGCGCGTGCAGCGACACCTAATGGCGCATATTATAGTGCCGACCGCAGAGCGCACGACACAGCGGAATACATTCATTAGCTATAAAATGGAAATAGTGGCATAATTTCTGACCTAACATTACGCACTTGTTTTTGTTAGATAGGTGTAAAAATTTAAAATGTTTAAAATAAAGTATTTGAAATTATAACACTGGAACGAAGTAGAACTAATGTGAAATTCAAATGTCCAAGTTGGTACTTTAATGTATTAAACTTCTTCGTTTTCTTTTTAGTTTTAAATGTTTAATTTTGCTATTAGCTCTTAGGCACAATAAATGAGCAGCATTGTCGCCAGTCCACAATGCTGCTGGTTTTATATTTAATATACTAATACGTATATTAATATGTAATTAATTATATTAATATGTAATAAGTACTTTTGCGTTTTCCACGCACCTTTTTGTGTTTTGTTTTGTTTTATTTAGTTGGGGGGTTTTTTTGGGTTTTTTTTTTTGCTATGTGCATCATTTGTTTCTGTTACTGATTTTGTTACTGAATATTTTGTCTCAAATACTTTCAATAACTTTATTTATTTATTTATTTATCTTTTTTGTCGTTTTTTATTAAGTACTATTATTTTTATTAAGTACTGTTATGAATTAAATGAGCTGCTAGATGTTTTCGAGCACTCTTTTTCTTTTGGGACTTGATTGATTTGAGTAGTTTATGTTTTAGAAGGCATTCATTCATGCATAATCTTGTTTCCCACAGTTTAACCAGTCACTGATTATTAACCAGTCACAAAGTAATTGCTATTTTCTAATAAGAATCATGACAACTATACACTGTCGGTCTGACTGACTAGTGGATTTCAGCCAGATATTCCCATGGTGTCATATGTTTTGTCATTATTTTTGCTATCACTTTGTGGCGTCCCGTTTGTTGTGGAGTGCTGAGATGAAAGTGGTTTCTCATCGGGCATTCACCTGCAGGCAGAAGACTTTTCATGTCAGAGCCTGCCCCTCAGGCCCTTGTATTACTCTAACAGCTGACTGACATCTGTTTCCCCGTCTCTCTCCTGAAATTACTGCAGTTCAAGATGCTGCTTTTTAATTCTAATGGTCAAAGTCATAGCAGTCCGGCTTTACTGAGGAGAACGTATTGTCTTTCACTTCCAGTTTCTCTTGATGAACTTATGATAACCTCAAAAAACAGAGATAGGCAGAGCTAGACAAAGGACAGATAAGGGCGCAAACAGCACCTGGATGTTTTTTAGTTCACTTTTAATGTTGGTATAAAATTCACTGCCCATATGTTGGAGAGAAACAATGGGTATTAGTCGCTCGAAATAGCTCAGTTGTTAAATATAATTGCTTAATTTGACCCTTGTGTCTCACTGACCTTGACTCATGTGACACCAAAGTCATTTGGCTCAGTTATGTTTATTGTCTGTTTACAGGCTCATTTGATTTGCCAAAGTCAGCTCTTTCATTTTCTTAAGGACACATTGGGCCTCATTCATGCAACATGAGCAGAACGAATTTCTAATTGCTCACTAAACCATTCTTACATAAATTGTCGCATTCAATTCACGTAAGAAAGACTTTATGAATGATTTACATACAAATTCGTTCTACTTGTGTTTCATGAATGAGGCCCAGTGTGTGCACAAGCGAAATGTGAATTCTGATTTGGATGCATGTTAAAGTGAATGATTTAGACACAAATTTGCGATAGAGAGGATGTAAATTCGGTCACACTATTTTACAGTCCAGTTCTCGCTATTAACAAACTATTAACTACGACTTTTGCCTCAATAAACTCCTAATTTGCTGCTTATTAATAGTTAGTAAGGTAGTTGTTAAGTTTAGGTATTGGGTAGGATTAGGGATGTAGAATATGGTCAGGCAGAATATGTGCTTTATAAGTACTAATAAACAGCAAATATGTTAATAATAGGCATGCTAATAAGCAACTAGTTAATAGTGAGAATTGGTCCCTGTACTAAAGACTTTATCTCAGCAAGTGAAGACACACTATAACCTCTATTAGGTCCTGAACTGAGTTCCTAATGAGTCAACAACAGGTGAATGCCTGGTGTTTACAGTGATTAAGTGAATGAAAGCTGTGTGTTAAAACATTAACCAGGCCTGCCACTGGATCACAGAGCACACTTGCACAACCACTGACACTTAACAATCAGCCATCACCTCCTAAATAACACACCTACTATTGTTTATTTGTATGTGCACATGTGTATGTCCGAAATACGTGTGTAGGTGTAAAAAAGTGTGACATTAATGTGTGTGTAAAAGAACGAAAGAGTGCAAGAGCTGAACAAATTTAGTTTTAACAAGTGGGACGTTTATGTGCTGCGTGTTAAACTTTATTGGCCGTGTGCATGAGTGATATCGGTCCGTAAGTGGGTCTGCGAGACTACACTTCTGTCAAAGTGGAGAATAATCTGAGGAACGTCTGACTTGGGACCGAAGCATCAAGTTTAAGTATGCATAGGGAATGACAAATAGCATTCCACTCAAGTTATAATAACGTTGTTGTTTTCAAGCATGAAGGCCTACAAGTTAGATTACGGCCCTGCAAAGCCCAAAGGCAACAGCGGCACAGCATCGCTGTGAGATATAACAAATAACAATAAATCATCTTGAATAGATAAATCATAAGATAAAGTCTAAATAAATAAACAATTATAAAATTATATACCATAATATAGAAATTACATAAATAATAATAATGTATAATAATAATAATAGCAACAATATGAATGAATTACTAATAAGCAAACAACAAATAAAAACTATAAATATATAAATCAATAAAGTAATATATAGAAAAAATAAACAATAATATATAATTATAACGATAAAAAAATTAATAAATGAATAATAATATAAATGAATGGTAAAATAAAGTAATAACTATAAATAAATAAATAAATAATAACTATAAATATAAACGAATACACTAATAAATAAAAATAAATAATAACTGGTAATAACAAAAATTGATAAATATTGATCATATAATTATAGCAATTGAACAAAATAATACATAAATACATATATAATAATATCAAATAAATAAATACTATAGAATAATAATCAATACAAATATTCATATAAATCAATACATTTATAAATAAATAATAATATTATATTATAATATAATATAAAATCATAAATAAATTATTGAATTAAATAAATAAATAGTAAATAAAAAAAATAAACATTTATTTTATAAAAGTCATTTTCTCGTAATCATTAAATTAAAAAAAGTAGCAAATACTTTGTTACACAATGCAAAACACATAACAATGTACAGCTAGTATAAAATATGAAAGCTGAAATAATGTATTCAGTTTCTCAGTTTGAGACCCCTGATTGTCAGAGACCCTGTGGCACTGGCTTCATAACGCGTCCTTGAGTCAGAATAATGCACCATGGGAACAGCTATTTAGCAGTTGAGCTGTTTGTTGCCTCGCACCCTTGGCCAGACACCCAACCCGAGCATTCTCTCTATGGCAGCGTGATGAGCACTGTTTCTATCTTTGTGGGTACAACCGCTCAATTTACCACATGCAAGATCACCGGGCCCCTATGCCAGACACACCCCTGAGAACCAACATCTCACCAGAAATTGAGCGCTAGGCCCAACATTTACGCACACCCTCTCCTAATTCACTCTAATGAGATGCTGCGAGACAGTTTTAGTGGATAGGCACACAGAGACAGGTCATTTGCATCCTCTGCCTTTTGTGAGCGTCCTGGCCGACACGCGGATGCATCCTCCGCTGGCAGTGTTGCCGTTTTCAGGAGATGAAAGCTAAATGAGAAGCTGCCGTGATTGATTGGGATAATGTGAGTGTGGGTTTGAACTGGGCATGTTGTGATTCAAAAGCTTGCGTTGGAGGGAAAGGCATGCACACCACTTGTGCAAACCAACCACTCTTTTTAGAGCCTGCGAGGGCCGATGGTGTGACTTCCTCAAAATACCTTCATCGAGCATGTCTCTATTGTTACCAGATGTCATTCTGACTTTCCAGCACACACTTTTGTACAGCGACACACGTTGGAGAATAAAGCCCAAAGTATACTTAAGTTTTGATGCAAACACTTAGCATAAGCGTACAGCCGAACGCACAGCCTTTCAAAGTATGGGCTGCATCCAAAATTGCACAACTAATTTGTGACATTGTACTGTAACCATCTACTGTGTGAGAATAGCTAATTTAGGTAATAGATTAGGTAATGGTATGAGGTTTAATCACAGCAAATTATCATTGGTAAAGCATTACAAGCAACACAAGTTACGTAATCAGATTACTTTTTTAAAGTAAATAGTAACACATTACTTTTAAATTTACAAGAAAATACCTGAGTTACTTTTTTCCTGTCCCCGTGTTCAGAGAAATCGAGACTAAGTGCAGAGGTTGAGACACTTCCTTCAGGCTGAGGTTCATTAAATTCCCTTTTGTTGTAAAAGGGCCTTTACAGTTGCCAAAAATATAGTTTTTTTCTTTCTTTTTAAAGGACATTTTACGTAACTTTGATAAATCACTAAATGCTTCGTTCCGGCATCCTCACTATTGTTACTTAGTGATTTTTTTGTGTTTTTTGGCTACGGCAGTTAACAGTTTACTTCCGCAATTCCCTCAGCCTTAATAGGGACTGTAAGAAACAGCGTAAGTGAAATGGCAATGGCGACTGGAAGTAAACTGTTAACTGCTGCAGCCAAAGAATGCTAAAAAAAATCACAAAGTAATCACTAAGCAACTAGAGACGATTGTGGAACGGAGCATGCAATCATTTATCAACATTACAAAAAACATCATTTAAAATACAAGAAAATGCTTGCTTTTGACATTAAAGGATAATTTACTGTGATCAAACCTCATACCATTACTTAATCTATTACATGCTACACTCATCACATGCACACTAGAAAGTTTCATCCTAGTTCAGTATCTGC